AACTGTTTACACAAGTCCAAATAGATATCCGAAAAATAGAAAAATTATATATTTGTCATTTTTGCCATATGTCTACCTAGACAAATACATTGTGCTAGGTCCGACATCTCAAAAGAAAATAGTCCTAAAAATCTTCAAAATACGTAAGAATGCTAAAAAGACTTGCAAACAACCCTTAAAATTTCAAGCAGTATTTTTAAGCTTCGAAACTATGGAGTGGTATTTGTATTTTTCTACGGAGCTATTTGTATAATTTTTAGGGTTATTTATAATTTTTAAAACGTTTAGGGGTTGTATGAAAATTTATAGGGGCTAATTTTAATTTTAGAAAGACTAGAGGGCTATTTATAAAATTATCAGGAGGCTTTTTGTAAAAATTTTATGGGGATATTTGTAAATTACAAAGCTTTCTGGGGATGCATGTAAATTATTCAAGAGACTGGTTGTGTAAATTTATAGGAGGTTATTCGTAACATTTAAAGTTTTTAGGGTTATGCAGTATCTCCAAGGTTATTGTAGTGTTTGAAACTTTTAAGGGGCCGTTGGTAAAACTTTGATTGGGCTGCTTGTAAAATTTTAGGGGACTATTTATAATTTTAAAACTTTTTAACGTATATTCATACTTTTTCAAAAGGCTATTTGTAAAAATTTATAGGCTTATTAGTAAATTTCAATTTCAAAGGGGTGTAGGTAAATTTTCCAAGAGTTATTTGCAATTAATAAACTCTCAGAGGCCATTTGTAAAATCATTAGGAGGTTGTTTGTAAACATTCCAGAGGGCTGTTCATCATTTTCAAATTTTTCAAGGGGTGTTAAGTAAACTTTTAGGGGTGTGTTTGTAAAACTTTAGGGGTTATTTGTGGTTTTTTATACTTTTGGGGGTTGTATGTAAATTTTTTATGGGATTATTTATAATTTTTGAAACTTTTAGAGAGTTATTTGTAAAGTATTTGGGACTATTTTTAAAATTTTAGGAGTTATTTGTAATTTTTAAAAAAGGGATTTTTAAAAAAAGTTTTCAACAGGCTCGCTATAAAATTTTGGGAGTTATTTATAATTTTCAAAACTTTTGGGGTTGTCTGTAAAATGTTAGGGGTTCGTTTCTAAATTTAAAATATTTTCAATACTGTCTGTAATGTTCTATGCTTCAAGGGCCTATTTGTAATGTTTAAAACTTTTAAGGGTCCAGTCACCACAGAAAAAGGAAAATGCCAAAAAAATCTTAACATAACTGTAACTAACAGAAAGTTTTCGAGAAGAACTTCAGTTTTTTTTTGTCAATGAAAATTTCGTATTCATTTTTACCAAGTGAGAAGTTTATATACATCATACAAGATCAGTAAGACTGAAAACTCAACTTATGATGGGTGCATTTATAAAACATGCACACATGCACATACAACTGAGTTATAATTCTTTGATTCTTTCCCTTATGTGAGCTGGGTAATCTTCATTCATGATTTTTGAAAAGATTGAGAACTTGATAGCTCTGAATAATTCTTCAACCTGCCTGTTTTTGCTTTAAAAAATCCTTAGGTTTCTTTCTTGCCAAACAAAATACACTGAAGCAGTGAGGATCAGCCGCTTCAAATTTTCCCAGAAACCCTTCCTCTTTAGTCTGAAGCTATACCAGTCTATAATACTATCCCAATCACAAGATCTCCATTTAAAATTCAACCAATCCATTACTAAATTCCAAACAGCAGCTGAATATTGGCATCCAAAAAATAAATGATGACCAGATTCCTGTTGACCAGAACATAGCACACATTGATTTGTGTTGAGAATCCTCATCCGACATAATCTATCTTGAGTTAATAATCTTGAATGAGCAGCTAGCCATAAGATGAATGAGTGTTTTGGGTAATGTATGCTATTCCAAACAGTACTAGCCCACTTTTCTTGATGAGTAGAATGAGTAAGAGATCTGTAAACAGAGGATAGTTGCAACTTACCACCAACACAATTTTCCCCAGTTATGTTATGCAAGTTGCTGATACTCCCATAGCTCGTAATCAGAACATCTCTAGCTTTTAAAAGCTGTTTCCACATCCAAGAGTCATTTTGCTTAATTTGTATCTGCCAAATATTGTTTGACTGTAAATAATTCTCGTGCACCCATTTAATCCATAAGAGGTCCTTCTTGAGATGAATCATCCATAATAATCTAAGAGCAGCTGCATAATTCCATATTCTTGTTGAGAAAACACCCAAGCCTCCAAACTTTTTATCTTGACAAATCTTAGTCCAGGAAACTAAAGGAATTTTGTGATTCCAGAGAAAATCTGAACACATCCTGTCAATTTTGTTAAGAATTTTACAAGGTAAAATGTAATTGTTAGTCCAATAGATGTGGATACCCAATATGACAGATTTTATCAACTGTAGCCTCCCAGCATATGATAAGGTCTTCTTCTTTTGCCAACTTTGAAATTGTTCAGATATTTTCCTGATTAAAGGAGAACAGTCCATCCAAGATAGTCTTTTTGTTATGAGAGGCATACCCAGATACCTTACTGGCAAGACACCTTCAGAAAAATTCAGATAGAGCAGATTTGATGCTTCAAATTATCACTAATACCACTCATATACACAGAACATTTGTTGGGGTTAACTTCCAAACCCGAAACTCTGCTAAAACTTTGCAAGCATTGGTATAGCTTTGTAACAGAGTTCATATCAGCTCTTCCAAAAAGAAGCAGGTCATCAGCAAAGAACAAATGCGTAATGTTCAACTTAGAGCATTTAGGATGAAATTTGAACAGATTATCATTTTTAAGAGTATTAAGCTTCCTGGACAGATATTCCATGCCTAGCACAAACAGGTATGGGGAAAGGGATCCCCTTGCCTTAGTCCTCTAGCCCCTTTAAAATATCCATGGAGAGAACCATTAAGTGACAAGGAAAATTTTGAGGTAGTGATACATTCCATAATCCAATTAATCATAGCAGATGGGAATCCCAGACCTGATAGCATAGCTTCAATAAAATCCCAATTGATGGTATCAAAGGCCTTTCTCAGGTCTATATTGAGGATGGCTCTAGGTGAAGACTATTTCCTCCCATAATGCTTTATAAGCTCATGAGCAAGCAAGATGTTATTTGAGATAATTCTACCTTTTACAAAAGTACTTTGAGCATCACTAATCAAATAACCCATTACTTTCTGAATTCTGTAAGCAATTATTTTAGTAATAATCTTATAGACACAGTTGCAACAGGAGATTGGCCTAAAATCAGATAGAGATTTGGGATTGAGTACCTTAGGAACCAATGTGATTGAGGTAGAATTAAGAGTCCTAAGAAGTTTATCAGAATAGAAAAATTCCTCCACTGCCAGATAGAGATCTTCTTTGATGATATCCCAACCTGCTTTGTAGAATGAGGCATTGAAACCATCAGGTCCAGGGGCTCTATCATCAGCCATTGAGAAAACAACATTTTTTTATCTCTTCTCTTGTGATAGGAAGACCCAGCTCATAACTTTGAATTGAAGAAAGGATTGGGCCATTTGCTATTGCTGCAGGATCAAGCAATTCAACAGGAATTGAAACACCCAGGAGATTTTGATAATATTCAGTGAATTCCTTGATGATATCAGACATTTCAGTAATCCTCGTTCCATTTTCAGTATAGAGAGATAACACTCTATTATGGTGCCTTTTAGCTTTCATAATAGAGTGAAAAAATTGAGTGTATTTGTCACCATATAATCCCCATTTAATGTTTGCTTTTTGTCTGTAGAAAGAAGATTCACAATTGAGTAATCTCATATATTTTTTCAAACAATCTTTCTCTTTTGAAGCCAGCAGAGGGTTAAAAAGATCATTGCTCATTTGCTTTTGAACTTCATCTAGTTCATTTTTTGCTCTTAATAATTGTTCACTTATATTCATAAAATGTCTTTTATTCAGCTCCTTTAGAACTGACTTGAGATTCTTGAGCTTAGTATGGAGTTTATACATCTTGTAACCAAAAACAACCTGATCCCAAGCTGATCTAACTGTTGATAAGAAATCAGGGTGGCTAATCCACATCTTAAAAAACTTGAAAGGTTTTTTGCCCACAATATCTTCATCTTCAATTGTGATTAAACCAGGGGAGTGATCAGAACAGATTGGAGACAAGAAATCCACCTGGCTAGAATTGTACTTTTGAATCCAATCTTCATTAACCAAAATTCTATCAAGTCTACACCAGATTCTTGTGTCAATATCCTGTTTATTGATAACAATGAGAAAATTGGTGGTGCTTTAGTAACTGATGCTGATACAAAAGATTTTCAGGATTTTATCTCTTCCTGTCAACTTGTGCATCTCAAGACTATTGGGTGTTTCTTTACTATATGAACTAGTTAACGATATGAACTTTCTTTGTGGGCCCCAAATGACATTTGGTTAAACATTACAGAATTTTTTCAATTAAATCGAGAATCGAACCCAGAACCATGGAAGCCAAAGTGGAACTCCCAATCAGAAGTGTGGGAGCCGTGTTGAAACTCCCAACCTTCATCTGATCCAGTTAAAACATTAGAGATTTAAACTGATGTTTTGCCCATATTTAATATTTGGGGAGCTTTATTTCTGTTTCTAGGGAAGTGGAACTGTGGAAGCAGCCCCCCCACTTCAACAAAATGAATCGAACCTAGATTATCCCTGTAAGCAAAGGTACAAATTTGATCAATTCATGCAACATTTTAGATGCTCTATTATAAACGAGATAATGGATCTGTGATCGATTCATGCAATATTTTAGATACGTTATGGTAAACGAAGATATGAATCTGCGATCAAGCCACGAAACACTTAATAAAACTAAGCAACACATGACAAGGAACGAAAGCTTACCGTCTATTTTTTTTTATTCCTAATAAAAATTAATATACGCATATTGAATTTTAAGAAAAACGATTCTATGTCCAAAAAAAAAAATGAGTCCATGAATTGATTCACCCATAACAGTTTTTAGCTTTTGATACAAGTCAAGTCAGAATCTTCATATTATGTCAAAGACTCAGTAAATATCACAAAATTACCTTACACGCCATAAAGATCCAAAAAATAATGGATCAACAGTATAAATAATGGTAATTATTGGAGAAAAAACTTCTACAAATACTTTTACAGTCATCCAATAGATTAACAAAAAAGGACTGATAAATAAACACACAATATGCCACATAATATTACACTTCTAAGAAACAGGAGTGGCTGTTTTTACACGATAAAGATGTCAGTGCCCAAATGGTTGAGGGACAACCAATCTTCAAAGCTCCAGAGCAGTGGGATCTGCAATGAAAGTCATTAAATAGTTAATAGTTATTTGTTACCATGGCTATATATCCTTTTGTACCCAAATTTAAGCATAATATAACAAAAAATGTAGCAGGACCGAGAAAACAAGAGACAAGTAACACATAAATGATGAAAACTTTCTGCAACGAAATTCAATTGTGAGGTACATGGGGGATTCGGATCCTGTCCACTACCAAAAAAATAGTTGAGAGACGACTGTAATATCATAACCATTGATTTATTTAGTGGGTGGTTGTGTGAATTAGGAAAATAGTGCAATTCAATGGGGATATGGTGAGTGTTAGATATGATATGAATCATAACCACCCACTATGACATCTGCGGCTATGGTTAATGTAGTGGTCTCCCTACTACTTTTTTGGTAGGAGAGAGGATCCAAATCCAGTATGTGGGTGGGTACGTGTGCATGTTCATATGTAAAGAAAAACTCGCTGCTAGCTAAAAATAATTTAGTGAAATTGTAAAGATAAACATGTAAAATATGGTCTGCTGATATATGGACTCAATCATAGGGATATATATCGATACGAACCAATGTCAGCAGCCGACAAAGTTGTAGAGCCAGTACAATTAACCGCAAAATAAAGAGGAAGATAATGTTAATGCGGGAAAGAAGAAGATGAGCATGGTTGTCCACCAACAAATTTAAAAGTTTTGTACATGATATTAGCTACATTCAGCTTCGATCTATTTGTATACCTCTAAAATTTGACGTAGCAGTAGTAGACTGCACTGAATACCTTCATGACCTCTATCATTTCTAGATCCTATCATATTCCCCTTTCCCAAGCTACTCAAAATATGTTTTAATGTTTGTCCTAAAGTTCACTAAAGACAAACTCAGGATCCATGACTTCAATAAGGATGGGAACTTGTTCCTCACACCTTAGCACACAATCAGTAATGTCAAGATCTAGTCATGAAGCGAAAACAGAGAAGGACGACTGCAATTAAATATGAAGCGCGTCAAACTACCTCCTGCAATAGGCCAATAGACCATTATTCTCTCTTTTTATTTTCTCTACTTTACTTGGAATTTGTCCTTGATCCTCCGTATTGAGAACCTTGAACATCGTCTGCTATCAGGTAATGACCTCATCGCAGATGCATAATAGAGGGTTAGTACTTAAACCTCGATGCCTGTTCAGAACACCTCGCAATCATGATCATGAGGGCACCAATAATCTAGATGAACAAAAGAGGGACAAAATGTCTCCAAAAAGGTTGCTCTTACAATTGATGAGGTCTCTGTGATTCTGTGAAACAATGACGGTGTTGGAAAAAGTTGAGTATATACTTGACTTCTCTTATTATTTTCTCCTCTTAATATATTCCTTGGGTGTTATTGATTTGGGATTGTTAGCTAAGACTAGGATGTTTATTCAAATTACAATTTGAGGTGCTATTGGTTTAAATATGGTTTGGATCTCAAATTATGGTGTTATTGGCTAAACATATTAACTAGAAATTAAATTTAAAGTATAAATTGTATTTAGGCTAGGATTAGAAAATCCTAGATTCAATCCTATTGTAATATTCAATTCTGTGTGGAGGTTACAAGCAAGTCCTAAAAATATCGAGGATTTTTTTCTTCTTACCCTAGGATTCTGAAGATGACTTTAAACCACCCAACATACAAAACAAGGATCTCGATTGCTGCAGTCAGGACAACGGTTGTTGCGACCAGGATTCCAACCGCCGCTCTGGCTAGCCCAGGGTTATTGACTTTGATGCAGTTGCCATACACCACCACCGTCGTCAATGACGACAACTGTTGGCGATTGACGACAACTGTTGGCACGAGAAGAATATCAACTGGCCAAGGCTTTTTATCTTTGGTTGTGCCTTGTTGGGCAAAGAAAAAGTAATTTTTGGGATTGTATTTGTCCTGATGTTTAAAAGGTATTAATTGGTTCAGGTATAAATTGGCTTATATGGTGGCCAGTCTTATGTTCCCCCTGGGGAGGGATGCCCTAGTTAATTAAGATTTGTCTACCAATAACAAAGCCTTTCATCCCAAATTAAGACTTACTTCTTCATTGAATTGCTCAAGGATTGGTAATATACAGTAAGTACTTTGTGGAATAACACGACTTTCCTTTTGCAATCTATGAACTCATGCCTTTTCTTTTCTATGCAGTAGGAATGTTGAACCATTGTTGTTAGCTAACAAGTACTCTGAGATACAAAAAATATTGGATGTGACAAACAAATTACCTTGTTTGCTAACAAAAATAGAGCACATATTTTTATTCTGATGTATAGATTTGACCTATATGTTTTAGAGTAGATTTTCTTGCTAAAGAAAAATATATAACTTTAATTTTCTTAGCATTTATTTATTTGGAAGTGTGATCCAGGTTATATTTTTGATGTTAAATCAAAGCACATAGATGCTAACTATTTACAGAAAATTAAACATGTAAATAGAAGTAAAGTCATAGTATAAATTGCACATGATATAAATATAATTCCAAATTCCATCTCTTTTATTAGGATGGAAGTTGTGCAAGGATCTGAATGTGAGTCGAAAGTAGGTAGTGGTGGATTATTAGAAGTAGACATCCAAGACGGACAAATAGTTCTTTATCATTAGTGAATATGTATTGTTTTATGGCTAAATAGCACTTATGTGCCCTATTGTTTCATTTATTTTTCATTTATATTTGTATTTGGTAGCAATAAAATACCCTAAAGTTTTTTAAACCTGCACTTATATATTCTCACTTGTTTTTTACAGCACTTATATACCTTAAAGTTTTTAAAATTTAAACTTAAAACCCTAAAGTTTTTAAATATAGCACTTAAATACCTAAAATTTTAAAACTTGCACTAAATTCCCTCAAAGTTTGCATTAATTGAGGGTATTTATGTGCAAGTTTTAAAACTTAGGGGTATTTAACTGCTGGCTGTTTACAACTTTAGGGTATTTATGTGCTGCCAAGAAAAGTGAGGGTATATAAGTGCCTTTTTTTTGTTACCAACTACAGGTTGGGGATATATAAGTGAAAAGTAGGTGAAACAATAGTGTGTATAAGTGCTATTTAGACTTATTTTATATATGGTTGAACATTAGCTATTCTTAGTTATGTACTATAGTAATTTAATTTATGTGGCATTTTTTTGGTTTTATTAATATTTACACGATTAACAATAAAAAAAGTAAAGATAAATAGTTTGATGGTACATTAAACTTAATTTAAGGACAAAATTGTTTCATGTTACCATATGCTTACATCAAGGGTCAGCCTTAAGCCCCAACTCACTAGACATATTTAGGACAAAGTCTCATGGTGTACGATATTCGCTAAATGCTAATGATAAGGGATTAGTTGAGGAGGCTAGAAATGAATAATTTCTAAAGTATAAAGGTGAAGTCAAGTTTTCAAAAATATAGGATTTAGATAAAAATTAGTACAATAAAAGCAGAATATATAGAATGCAATTTTAGTAAAATGAGAGAAAAGAGTTGATAGAACGTATTGGTGATCATAGAATGTCTAAAAATAATCAATCTGGTTATTTAGGATCAATTATTTGTCATGATAGCAAGATTAAAGATGATGTTGTCCATCAAATCAAACCGGAATGGTTAAAATGGATGAATGTTTCTAAAGTCTTATGTGATTGTAGAATACCTATGAGATTGAAGGGATAATTCTACGTGACAGTTACAAGACCGACACCACTCTTGGGAATAAACTAGAATATAAGGCAATTAAAAAATAATATGTGCAAAAAATGAGTTTAACAGAAATGAGATTGTTATGACGGTCTTGCGGGTATACATTAAAGGATAAGGATAAAGATAAGATAACAGTACATCCATAGGAAACTAAGGGATGCTCATATTGAGGATAAAATGAGGGAGAATTAGTGGAAAAAGGAGGCTCTCAATGCATCGGATAGAGAAAAAAGACATGTTATAATTAATTAGACAGAAAGATCAGAAGGTGGACCTAAAAGAGCATAGTTAAACACAAGTAAGAAGGATATGATAATAGTTAACTTAATAGAGAAAATGACCTAAAATAGAATTGAATGGAAGAATAGGACTCATGTAGCTGCCAAAAAAAATTTAGGATAAAGTCTTTGTTGACGCTAATTTAGAAATAATAACATATATGTTTGGCAATATTTATTATCTAACATAAAATTTAATGATAAAACAAAATTTCCCAAATTTATATCTAGTCTAAAGATATACAAAACTATCCAAAAATCCAAATTTTAGTCTAAATATCTAACCTATAGTCCAAGAATGCAATCCAAACATTCTAGCCCTAGCTCTTGTTCTAAAAAAAGGATGCTTGGACAATTTTTGTAGTGCTAACTAACAATTTGGAACCAATCACACCTCCTTAGAGTTTTATGAAGACATTCGCCACAAAATTCTGCTACTCTGTCATCCTTAGCATAAGATTTTCAAGATATAATATGAGGGAGCTCTTCTTGTTGTGTTTTTAACAATGGCAGATCGCCTTCATGCGCATGCCATCTCATCCAACATAAACTTATCTTTATTAAATCCGCTCTGATTATTTCTCATCAGCAATAAACTCATACAGATAAATAATTGAGCATACGCTTATATGACAGAATTAGCAAGTTCAAAAATTCTTGTAGCAAAATAGACTAATGATTCATAAATAAAGTATAGAAGGATTTTGTAAAATGGACTAATGATTCATCAATTAATAAAGGGTAAATTGCACTTAAATGTCCTAAAGTTTCACATTTTTTCACTTATATCACCTAACTTGTGAAACGTATCGCTTAAATGACCAATTGTATTTTCCATAAAAAGAAATTGACACCATTAATAATTTAGGCGTTAAGACCGAAATACCCTTTTACTTTTCTTCTTCTTCTTCCTCAATACCCTTTTTACTTTTTTTCTTTTTCCTCAACAGCCAAAACAAAACCTCCCTCTAAATTCTGTCACCAAAAACTTCGCCCACAAATCCACCCACTAAACACTCCTCCTCACCAAGCTCACTTCTCTCTCACCATCTCCTTCCTCCGCCCACAAATCCACCCACTAAACACTCCTCCTCACCAAGCTCACTTCTCTCTCACCATCTCCTTCCTCTCTGGCCCCACCTGTACCTCCCCTCACCTCCCCCTCCCCCATCCTCCTCACCTGCTCCTGAAATTGAAGCGTTTGCCCTTCGCCTCCTCTCCTCCCAAAGCCCCTCCCCTACCCCTCTTCTCCTCTCTCTCTCTCCTCAATTCCCCTCCCTCTTCTCCCCCTTTCAACCTCTTAATCAAACACTACACTTCGCTCAACAACATACCTTTGCATTGTCAATTATGGAGCTCACCAAATCTTCAGGTGTAGCCCCAACAATGCTCTATTACAATTCAATTCTTGATTCTATGTTGTGCACCAAGTGTTTGATAAATGTGTATGATGGGTATCTACATGTTTCTTGCGATACCAAATTTTTACTCAGAGGAATGCTATGATTACAACTTACCCCCTTGGCTTCATGAATCGCAGCATTGATCTGAGGAGAGGCAATATAAATTCGTCAGTTTTAGGTCTAATTTGGGGAGAGAAAAATGAATATATCATACGGGTATTTGGCTGTACTTAAATGACATATAAGCGGTAATAAATGAACTCATTTGTCACAAGGGGATAATCCCAGCATATTCTAACAGAAAATTAGCGTTCTATACTTTATGTTGTTCAAGTGAAAAAAATTAAAATTTTGGGTCAGCAAGTGATACGTTTTACAAGTTAGGCGATATAAGTGAAAACCTGTGAAATTGTAGGCCATTCAAGTGCAATTTACCCATAGATAAAATATAGAAGAGTAGATCCCACTCACTGTGCTTTATAATTCAGATTTGAGATGTGATCCAGGCAGGCGGAGGCCATGTCAATCTCATGTCCGGAGGATAGCAAGTCCCGAAACTGCCATCGCTCAAGTTGAACACTCCGATATCACGAACCCTTTCCTGCCTCACTGGGATCTTGTCCCAATTGTCATCGGTAAAATAGACACGGTTCTCTTGTAGCCAGGAAATCTCCTTTGCCGAAAGGGACGCAGAGTACCAACAACCTACGAAGAGAGAGTGATCGCCCAAACTCGTTACTAGACTCCATGTCCCTGTTTCAGGGTCCAAACTACAAATCTCAATTTTGCATGTTCGGTTTCTAGATTCCTCCTTGAGGAACTCTTCTTGCCTGACGACCTGCAAAAGAACCCCTGATGAGTCCACCAGGTAGCTGGTATCGCAAAAGATATAACCGCGATATCTCTTGGCAAATAACGAAGCCTTCGGAGAAGACAACGGAGAGCAAATGTCCATAGCATAAACATCGCCAAAGTGGGTGAGTGCCAGGAATTTGCCATCACGGTATATGACATCGGCTACACCATGCCCGTTAGGAAATCTCCAAATATTCCACTCTCTGTAACCGGGTCGAGTATACATGAGGGTGCCACCCGTGTCGACGGCCACAGCCACAAAATCACCATCGGCAGGGTTCGAGGACAACACAAGCTTTCGAAATACAAGGGCCGATTGGGATTCTTCCAATGTGTAGTATTCCCTACCATCATAGCAGCTGTACCCCGCTAAAGATCCCTCAGAGTCATAAACAGGCTCCACCTCAGGATGAGCCGTTATCGGAGGGAGCTCGATTTGAGATCTCGTGAAGGGATTGAGGAGGCTAGGGTTTGCCAACTCGTCTATGACGGCGAGCCATCCGAATTGACTTCCGATAATCCACTTGCCCCGAATCTCTGGTAAATGATGGATCTTTGTGAAAGAATTGTCCAGGTAATCAAACAGAGTGCAGAAATCGCTCTGCTGGCAATTTCCGACGCCGTCTCCGGAGAATATTAAATAAGGTTCGTTCTTTCTTAAGGAGAGAGGACGGGGCATGCCGTTCTCCGGCGACGCGATCGAGGCCCACGAAGTGCAGACGGCGGAGAAACTGCAGTAGTCAACGGCGGAGAGGCGTTTGGCGATGAGGGTGAGTACCTCGCCCAACAGATTCGCCCAATCGGGATGCGAAGAGGGGACGGTCCCCGATGCCATGGCAGAGGTGGCTAGGGTTTCAATGGAAGAGGATGATGATGAGGCTCCCGAGCCCCTGTAGATCCGAGAATCCAACATTATTTAGTTAGGGCCTGTTGGTTTGCCTTAAAAAAATGGGAAATCAAAGAAATAGAAAAATATTTCTAAGAAAAATGGGTTTTTGAATTGTTTGGTTGGCTAAAAAAAAAAGGAAATCAAAGAAATGGAGATGAGATGAGATGAGTTGTCACATTATTATTGGATGATGTGAGTGATTTTTTAAGAAAAATAGTTTTGTTGTTGTTCGGTTGGCGAAAAAATAAGGAAATGAATTATAAGAAACCTATTTCCTGTAGTTTTGTTGTTTTCTTTTGTTTGGTTCATTCTTAAAAATAAGAAATGAAATGAGATGAGATGAGTTGTCATTGTATTATTGGGTGATGTGAAGAAAGATTAAGAAAAGTGTTTTCATAACTTTTTGGGATGAAAACTAAGAAATGAAATGTTAATGAGATGAGGTGAATTGTTATAGGGAAAATCCTCTTTTAACCCAAAGTTTTACCCCAACTTATTTAAAAACCCACTCACTTTTCAAAACATCAATAAACCCATTATATCCCATCCCACTTATTTTTAAACCCAAATGTACAATACACCCATTATTTGTATTGTATTTATCCAAAAAATTTGAAAAATCCTAAACTACCCTTCATCCCCAACTGATCTCTCCCTCTCCCCTCCTCCTCCATCTGAGCTCAGAAGAGATCTCTCCCTCTCCCCTCCTCCTCCTCTTCCCTCCCTTCACTTCCCCTCCTCCCTCAAGCCCATCAACCTCTGTATCCATCGCCCCCTATCTCCCCTCGCCGCCACGTCACCCACCACCGTCGACCTTGAAGTAGATGAATAGCCCACCAATGATTTCGACATTGACTCCCTGTAGTTCGCCCATCAACCTGAAGCACTTGTCATTGCCGCCAGTGGACGGAGCTTGAGGAGCACTCGGAGTAATGGCGGAGGTCGAAGACCGCCTGGCTTTGTAAGGAGCTGCTTTCGCATAAGCCGACGACGATGGTGAGGATCCTTGGCGCTCAAAGGCCTCAGTCCGCCACTCGGCTGATTCATGCTAGCTTGCTTCTCGTTCATCAGTCACTCCCAATTCCAGGTCAATTTTAGGGTTTTAGGGTTTAAGAAATTTCAATATCTTTTGATAAAGTTCTTATCTTTTTGTGTGGTGTTTGGGGTTGGCAGAGGAAAAACCACGCGCTCTCCTCTGATCATTTCCTTCGCTGCCTGCATATCAAATTGGTAGGAAAAACCCATCGTCTTTTACAGATTGAAATGGAAAAAGGCATCAATCCGTTATTGAGACTCTGTTGCAGAACTTTAGCGTATGATGTAAAACTAGCTATTTTAAAAAACACCAAATCAATTATAGAAATTTGATCTCTTAGCAGATCCAGCACTTACCACTCAAGCTCATCGAGAACATCATCGGTCTTGTGAGCAGCATCTTTGAGTTCCCACAGCCATTCATTTGAAAGTGATATTGCATAAAAGCTTATAGATGATTCCTTTGAAAGTGATATGAAGCCTCTTATGCTAGCGTTTCTCGATATTACTTTCATGTATTTTGCTTTGGAAATACACGATAAGTTAGAATTGACAGTTAATAAAATTTTCTTATCATGCAATCATTGATTGTGGCATTTGTTTGTGCAGGAGCGTAGATTGTAACATTTTCATGATGGGATACATATATTCCATCATCAATGGCACACCTTCATTCATTCATCAGAATATGAACTTCTAGGAGGAAAGATCGCGATTGCATTTGTCTCGGAGAAATCAAAAAAATCTACTAGAAAATATTGTAATTATTGTGCATGTTGTAATCATGAATACATTGGTTTCGGAACCGAATGTGGATTGAGTATGAAACATGTTTCTTTATTGAGGAATAATTAGAAATTGAATAGCCTAGATATATAGCCTTAAAGTAGTAAACTCCGAAGCGCCTCATCTAGAAGTGTAAACATGTCAGCAGTTGCTCATTGCTTGCTTCGGATATTTGATACGATAATGTTATAAGGGCCACCAGTGGTTATATGTCTATGAAATGTTGTAATCAGTTATTTTTTTGAAGCATGTTATAAGGGCCACCAGTGGTTATATGTCTATGAAATGTGTTTCAGATCTTGTATTTTGTATCAAATGTGTACATTCATAGCTCATGGTATTGTTCTATTCCAAAACTAGTGCTATTGGATAATTTTGCGATATTTGGTTGATGCGCAACATTTATATATGTCTCATGTGTATGAGGTTCAGTTTTTTCAGAGGTCATGTTTTATGTATAAGAGTTGATGTTGTTACATAGAAAAAGAGATATATTATATTCGCCTACGTCATGTGTTGCGTGACCAATTATCCACCTCGACGAGGGGTCCTCGCGCAATTTTGAAGCTTCTGGGCAAAGTATAGCACCTTATGGTAAAGTATAGCACCTTTTGGCCAAAGTATAGCACTATACGACAAAGTATAGCACTTTATTGACAAAGTATAGCACCTTATTGGAAAAGTATAGCACATTATACTTTCTGGAATTCTGAAGCTCAAGTGCCTAAAATCACATCAGTTTTTTTTGCCGCGACGAAACCACTCGACGACCTACGTCACGTGTTTATTGACCAATCATCCACCGCGACGGGGGTCCTCGCGCAATTTTGAAGCTTTTGGGCAAAGTATAGCACCTTATGGTAAAGTATAGCACCTTTTGGCCAAAGTATAGCACTATATTACAAAGTATAGCACTTTATTACCAAAGTATAGCACCTTATTAGCAAAGTATAGCACCTTATAAAGTGCCTAAAATCACATCAGTTTTTTTTGCCGCGACGAAACCACTCGACGACCTACGTCACGTGTTTATTGACCTATCATCCACCGCGACGGGGGTCCTCGCGTAATTTTGAAGCTTCTGGGCAAAGTATAGCACCTTATGGTAAAGTATAGCACCTTTTGGCCAAAGTATAGCACTATATGCTTGCTGGAAATTCTGCAGCTTAAGAGCCTAAAATCAAATCAGTTTTTTTCACCGTGACGAAACCACTCGACGACCTACGTCACGTGTTATTGACCAATCATCCACCGCGACGGGGGTCCTCTCGCAATTTTGAAGCTTCTGGGAAAAGTATAGCACCTTATGGGAAATTATAGCACCTTATGGCCAAAGTATAGCACTATACGACAAAGTATAGCGCTTTATTGACAAAGTATAGCACCTTATTGGAAAAGTATAGCACCTTATGCTTTCTGGAAATTCTGCACCTTAAGTGTCTAAAATCAAATCAGTTTTTTCGCCGCGATAAAACCTCTCGACGACCTACGTGACGTGACGACCTACGTGACGTGTTTATTGACCAATCATCCACCGTGACGGGGGGTCCTC